ATAGCTAGGAGACGCGCGGAACATGGTACTATAGTACTTACTTTCGGGTATCTAAATTCCAGCTCCTTCGGCAGACCCGGAGATTTTGTGCTGAATTTTCTCCAAACCCTGCCAGACAAAAGAAAACAATTACTTGATATCAGGAAATGAACAAATTTGCTGATATGGTGGATAATGATCGATTTAACTTACTTCTCGAGGATTGCAGTCATGTCCGCATACTCCTGGGGATCTTTTCGTCTCGAGTCCAAGACAGTTACTACTCCCTGCTCAAGCCTAATCTCCAGGAGAATATAGTGGAAACTGCGCACGCATGCATAACTCATCAATTACATTACTATAACCTGAACTAATATATAAGGGAAACCGAATATGCACAAGACAACACTCACTTGAAGTTGTAAGGAAAGAGTATTATATCTTTGTGTTCATTTATTTGGAATGATCGTAGCAAGTTGGCCTCGGTTTGTGCGGCATGATGTTTAACCTGAACTGCATCTATGAGATTTGTGTTAACGAACCCAATATCACCGATTTGTCTTTTCTTCAATTCGGCGATCTTCAATCTGCATAATATAGTGAGGATAATTATAAATACATGCAATGAAAGAGCTGAGCCGAGGGCCAATTGATTGAAAAACTGATAGAACTCCTCAAATGGAATAGGCAACAGATCAATTCCAACAAGGTCATGCTCCGGTTTAACTCTCGCATACAAAGTACTCCTCCCCCCAGACTCTCTGCATATTTTCAGGTACCAATCGTGCAATCTTCGCATCATCGTTGATAGAGATCTTTCATCTTTGACGAGAGGCTTCCCGTACTCGTATCTGTGTATCTGCACGTCCAGGAAATCATAATGTACATCGTCGGGCAGGTAATCGTCAAGATTGTTATAACCGGGCACCATCCTCGGATCGACGCTAGGCACCTTGAGCGGGGGGCACGATTGCTTTGCTTGTTCGCCGAGCTGGGCAATTTGTTTCCCAGCTCGTCGTTCTTTCATCCTTTGATCACTGACAGTACTTCCCGACCGCTCCGCTTCGACAAATGCCTTTCCAATAATGCGCTCATAGTTGCCTTTCGGCGAAGACTTGGGTGGTTTTGCCAGGGCAGCCAAAGTGCGCTTCACTTTTACCGGATCTACCTTCTCCTTCGGAGGTGGATGTCTCTGTGCTTTCAACCCTTGAAACCAGTCATCCTTCTCGATTCGCGCGATCCTCGCGTTCTCCTCCGGGGTCCTCTCGTATGGTAACTTCTCCGGAGTCTTCAGAGAAGGACCGAATTTGTATTTCCTCCCGCCTCTGGCTGTACTGCTAGACGTCGGCAGAGCAGACGGAGCGGCAGTCTTCTTGACTTGCTTACGAGGCGGAGGAGAAGGACTACGACGCGCTGGAGCAGCTGCCGGAGCGGCGGCGGGTCTCTTCCGCCCTTGCTGACGAGGCGGAGAAGGAGTAGGCTAGCTGCTCGGGCGCGCCGGCGCAGGCGGAGAAGGAGGCGGAGTGCCGCCACGCGCCGGAGAAGGAGCCGGCCGAGGGCCCTGATCGTCACTCGCCAGAGGAGGAGGCGGTGGAGGAGGCGGAGTGCCCTGACTCGCCGGAGGAGGAGGAGGCGGAGGCGTCCAGTTTGGAAGGTTGATGAGTTCCTTCCGCCATAGGCATGGAGTCTTCAGAGCAGAACCCAGCCGAGTCTCCCCTTCTCCGGTAGGGTGGTCAAGCGGGAGGTCCTCAAATCCCTCCGTTATTTCATCCACCATCAACTTAGCATATCCTTCTGGAATCGGCTGGCAGTGAAAAGTTGCGTCGGGTTCATTAGGAAAAACAGAGCCAACAGCCGCCTTGACCTTCATATTCATCCATTGCGTCATAAGGTGGCAATTTTGAGCCTCCGTGATAGCATCCACGGGATAGCTGGCAGGAGTCGTCAAAACAAGCTCCGGCTGAAGCAGCTCGGTGGAAGCCATGCTGCTTCTCCGCTGAGATGGAGGGGTAGCTTCGGCAGTTCGTTTGCTGCGATTTGCTTCTCGTTCCTCTATCCCGAGTACCCTTGCTTTAAGCGCCTGCAATTCGGACTGCTACACTTTCTTCCTCCTCTCCTGGCTTTTGTAACTGCCTGCGTCCGGAAACCCAGCCCTTCACGGAATGGAGCCTGGTGTGCCTCGTATCCATCCAGGGTGCTCAGGATTCCCGAGGACCGATGTGAGCTCGTCGTTCTCTCTGTTTGGAAGGAACGTCCCTTTCTGCGCTGCAGTGATATAGTACCAAAGCTTCTTCAAGGGTATGTCAAGTTGCTCGTCCGTCCAAATGCACTTCCCTGTTACAGGGTCCAAGGTTCCGCCAGCCCCGAAGAACCAAGTCCGGCAACGGTCTGGCCAGCTCATTGTCTCTGGTTCGATCCCTTTTTGAACCAGATCATTCTCAGCCTTGGCCCACTTAGGCCGGGCTACGAGGTAGCCACCTGACCCCGTGCGATGGTGAAGCTTCTTCTTCGCAGCATTTTTCTTGTTTGTCGTCGACATTTTCTTACTCTTTTCCGATGTCTTGTGGCCCACAAATGCAGGCCAGTCATCTATGATCTTCTCATATATGCCCTTGAATTCTGGTGTCTCTTTTTTCTCGACAAACCTATTCAGGTCTTTCTTCCACTTCCTGAATAGGTCTGCCATCCTCTTAAGAGCAAAAAACTTGATTAATTGCTCTTTAACTGGTTTCTCCGGATCATCCTCTGGCGGTAGGGTGAAATTTGTCTTCAACTCAGTCCAAAGATCATTTTTCTGCATATCATTGACGTTAGACACCTCAGGGTCTTCAGTAGCTGGCTTCAACCATTGCTGGATGCTGATCGGGATCTTGTCCCTAACCAGAACCCCGCACTGAGCAACAAATGCCTTCTTTGTTCGGATGGGTTCAATAGGTTGGCCGTTGGGCGCGATTGCTATGATCTCAAACCTTTCATCCGAGCTCAACTTTTTCTTCGGGCCTCGTCTCTTTACCTCAGTTGTGCTCGATCCGGAGGGCTAGAAAAAAGAACAAAGACTTAATTAATATGTGTACATACCAAAACAATGAATGCATCAATTAGCTAGTTAGCACAGGCTTAACTAATATATATATACCTGGCCGGACTCGGTTCGGTCACCGGAGCCGTCATCACGGTCTCCTTCTTGCACCGGCATTGGGTCACCGGAGCCGTCCTCATGTTCTTCTTCTTGCACCGGCATTAGGTCACCGGAGCCAGCTTCTTCACCCTCTCCTTCCAGACCATCAGTGTCGTTGAGAAACAACGAGACGGCATCACTTCCTTGTGCGATTATGTCCCTCAACATCGCTTCGTTTGCTTCGTCTCGGGCGGTGTCCATAGTTTCTACAAATATTTACAACATGGCAATTATTATTCAAACATGACAAATGGATATATTAGTGGCAAACGTAGTAAGGAATCATATATATTAATTAGTGGCCTCGACGCTGCTTCTCTAGGGTTTGGGGTGGCCTCGACAACGCTTCAAGGGTTTGGGGTGGCCTCGAGAACGCTTCAAGGAGGGGGTAATATCGACCCCCCCCCACGTGTTGAAGCTATCGGGAGGGGGTATATCGACAACGACGACACTACATCTATGTCCCTCGACGACCCTCGTTCCCGATAAAAAAAAGAGGAAGAAGAAGAAAAAAAAGAGGAGAAGAAAGAATGTTCGAGAGGATCGCCGAGGGGTCGGGAGGTTGCCTAGTGCCGAGCGATCCTCGACCCCTCGAACCCTCGACCCTAGTTCCCGACCCTCGACCCCTCGGCGATCCTCGACACCCTCGTTCCCGATAAAAACTAAGAAGAAGAAGAAGAAGAAAAAGAAAAAAAGAGGAGAAGATCGAAGAAAAAAAAGAAGAAAAAGAAGAGGAGAAGAAGAAAGGAATAGTGGAGAGGAAGAGAAAATAGAAAAAAAAGAAAAGGCTTTGGTCCCGGTTCATGGCACCAACCAGGACCAATGTCCCCCTTTAGTCCCGGTTGGTGCCACCAACCGGGACCAAAGGTCCCTTTTCAACAGCCCAAAGGGCGGGAAGCGGCGGTCTTTGGTCCCGGTTGGTGGCACCAACCGGGACTAAAGGGTGGCATTAGTCCCAGGTCGTAGCACCAACTGGGACTAATGCCCCCCTTTAGCCCCGGTTGGAGCCAACAACCGGGACCAAAGGCCTGTGCTGCCCCGAACCCAAATATTTAGTCCCACCTTGCTAGTTGAGAGGGAGGCGCACCTGTTTATAAGGTGCGGTGCGCCATCCCTCTCGAGCTCCTCTCTAAAGCAGGCTTTTGGGCCTAACACTGCAATCTGTGCCTGTGGGCCTACTGGGCCTCCCGCGGGCCTGAATCCTGGCCCATGGTAGGGTTTCTAGTCGTATTCAGGCCGTGGGGGCCTAGTAGGTGGCACTTTTTTGTTTTTTTTTGTTTTTTTGTTTCTACTTAGAACTGAATACTTATTGTTCCTATATTTAATTTTTTTTCCAGTTTTTTTGTTTTGTTTTCTGCATTATTTATTTTCTTTTGTTTCTTGCTTTATTTTTTAATTCTTTTAGCTTTTAGTTTTAGAAAAATTATAAACTTTCTGTTAGTGCCATTAGTTTTCAAATTTGAAAACACTTTTTTAGTTTTTTTTGTTTTCTTTGTTGCTTTATTTATTTTATTTTGTTTCTGGCTTTATTTTTTAATTCTTTTTGCTTTTAGGTCAGCAAAATTATAAACTTTCTGATAGTGCCATTAGTTTTAGAAAAAATATAAACTTTCTCTTAGTGCCATTAGTTTTCAAATTTGAATAGTTAAAATTTGAATTCTTTGAAATTGGTGTGAATCACATTTGTGATTAACTTTACTAAAAAAATGAACATAGATGCACCTATAGAGAAAATTCGACCTAAATTCATAGTTTTCAAATGAACTCTGAAAAAGTTGGCATAGCATACTCGTCTGTTACAAATTTGGCATGGTATCATCATAATAGTTGTGGGAGAAAGTTTTCACTTTTTTTTCGCTTGTGTCATTTTCTTATTGCGCCGTAACCATGGATATTCTACATCGTTTATCAGGATGCTTGGGTCAGCCTTGACATTGAAGGCAGGAATTTCATGAAACCTTTCATAATCTTCAGACATGTCTGTCTTGCCCTCCACTCCCAGGATGTCCCTTTTTCCTAAAAAAATTATATGGCGCTTTGGCTCATCGTATGATGTATTCATTTCCTTATCTTTTCTTTTTCTTGGTCCGGTAGACATGTCCTTCACATAGATAACCTGTACCACATCATTGGCTAGGACGAACGATTCGTCAGTGTACCCAAGATTTTTCAGATCGACTGTTGTCATTCCGTACTGTGGGTCTACATGTACCCCGCCTCCTGACAGATTGACCCATTTGCATTTAAACAAAGGGACCTTAAAATCTTGTCCGTAGTCAAGTTCCCATATGTCCACTATATAATCATAATATGTGTCCTTTCCCTTCTCGGTTGTTGCATCAAAGCGGACACCGCTGTTCTGGTTGGTACTCTTTTGATCTTGGTCAATCGTGTAAAATGTATTCCCATTTATCTCGTATCCTTTGTAAATCAATACAGTCAAAGATGGTCCCCTGGACAACAAGTACAACTCATCACAAACAGTGTTGTCACCTCTGAGACGTGCTTCCAACCAACTGCTGAAAGTCCTAATGTGTTCACATGTAATCCAGTCGTCGCACTGCTCCGGGTGTTTGGAGCGCAGACTGTTCTTGTGTTTATCGACATACGGGGTCACCAAGGTAGAGTTCTGTAGAACTGTGTAGTGTGCTTGAGACCAAGAATGTCCGTCCCTGCATATTATTGAGTCCGCTCCTAGCGTGCCTTTTCCAGTCAGTCTCCCCTCATACCGCGATTTAGGGAGACCTATCTTCTTAAGGCCAGGAATGAAGTCAACACAAAACCCGATGACATCCTCTGTTTGATGGCCCATGGAGATGCTTCCTTCTGGCCTAGCGCGGTTACAGACATATTTCTTTAGGACTCCCATGAACCTCTCAAAGGGAAACATATTGTGTAGAAATACGGGCCCCAGAATGACAATCTCGTCGACTAGATGAACTAGGACATGCGTCATGATATTGAAGAAGGATGGTGGGAACACCAGCTCGAAACTGACAAGACATTGCGCCACATCACTCCTTAGCCTTGGTACCATTTCTGGATCGATCACCTTCTGAAAGATTGCATTGAGGAATGCACATAGCTTCACAATGGCTAATCAGACGTTTTCCGGTAGAAGCCCCCTCAATGCAACCGGAAGCAGTTGCGTCATAATCACGTGGCAGTCATGAGACTTTAGGTTCTGGAACTTTTTCTCTGGGATATTTATTATTCCCTTTATATTCGACGAGAAGCCAGTCGGGACCTTCATACTGAGCAGGCATTCAAAGAAGATTTCTTTCTCTTCTTTCGTAAGAGCGTAGCTGGCAGGACCTTCATACTGCTTTGGAGGCATGCCGTCTTTTTCGTGCAAACGTTGCAGGTCCTCCCGTGCCTCATGTGTATCTTTTGTCTTTCCATACACGCCCAAGAAGCCTAGCAGGTTCACGCAAAGGTTCTTCGTCACGTGCATCACGTTAATTGAAGAGCGGACCTCTAGGTCTTTCCAGTAGGGTAGGTCCCAAAATATAGATTTCTTCTTCCACATGGGTGCGTATCCCTTAGCGTCATTCGGAACAGTTATTGCGCCGGGACCCTTTCCAAAGATTACGTGTAAATCATTGACCATAGCAAGTACGTGATCACCGGTACGCATGGCGAGCTTCTTCCGGTGATCTGCCTCGCCTTTAAAATGCTTGCCTTTCTTTCGACATTGATGGTTGGTCGGAAGAAATCGACGATGGCCCAGGTACACATTCTTCCTGCATTTGTCCAGGTATATACTTTCAGTGTCATCTAAACAGTGTGTGCATGCGTGGTATCCTTTGTTTGTCTGTCCTGAAAGGTTACTGAGAGTGGGCCAATCGTTGATGGTCACGAACAGCAATGCCTTTAGGTTAAATTCCTCTTGTCTGTGCTCATCCCACGTACATACACCGTTTCCATTCCACAGCTGTAAAAATTCTTCAACTAATGGCCTTAGGTACATATCAATGTCGTTGCCGGGTTGCTTAGGGCCTTGGATGAGAACTGGCATCATAATGAACTTCCGCTTCATGCACATCCAAGAAGGAAGGTTATACATACATAGAGTCACAGGCCAGGTGCTGTGATTGCTGCTCTGCTCCCCGAAAGGATTAATGCCATCCGCGCTTAAAGCAAACCATACGTTCCTTGGGTCCTTTGCAAACTCATCCCAGTACTTTCTCACGATTTTTCTCCACTGCGACCCGTCAGCGGGTGCTCTTAACTTCCCGTCTTTCTTACGGTCCTCACTGTGCCATCGCATCGACTTGGCATGCTTTCCGTTTCTGAACAGACGTTTCAACCGTGATATTATAGGAGCATACCACATCACCTTCGCAGGAACCCTCTTCCTGCGGGGCTCGCCGTGAACATCATCAGGGTCATCTCGTCTGATCTTATACCGCAATGCACCGCATACCGGGCATGCGTTCAGATCCTTGTATGCACTGCGGTATAGGATGCAGTCATTAGGGCATGCATGTATCTTCTCCACCTCCAATCCTAGAGGGCATACGACCTTCTTTGCTACGTATGTACTGTCGGGCAATTCGTTATCCTTTGGAAGCTTCTTTTTCAATATTTTCAGTAGCTTCTCAAATCCTTTATCAGGCACAGCATTCTCTGCCTTCCACTACAGCAATTCCAGTACGGTACCGAGCTTTGTGTTGCCATCTTCGCAATTGGGGTACAACCCTTTTTTGTGATCTTCTAACATGCGATCGAACTTCAGCTTCTCCTTTTGACTTTCGCATTGCGTCCTTGCATCGACAATGACCTTGCATTGCGTCCTTGCATCGACAATCACCCGGCGGAGGTGTGTCTATCACCGTACATCCATTGCCGGTTCATCTGCATGCATTATATATAATTGAGTGTCCAAATTAATAGAAGTTCATCATCACATTAAAACCAAAGTACATACATAGTTCTCATCTAACAACATATAGCTCTCCAGAGCATCTAATTAATTAAACCATACATTGATACTATGTAAAACATTTAAATGCGAAAACGAAGACGATCATAATCGCAACCAAGGTAACAATTGATCCAACGGCATAATGATACCAAGCCTCGGTATGAATGACATATTTTCTAATCTTTCTAATCTTCAAGCGCATTGCATCCATCTTGATCTTGTGATCATCGACGACATCCGCAACATGCAACTCCAATATCATCTTCTCCTCAATTTTTTTTATTTTTTCCTTCAAGAAATTGTTTTCTTCTTCAACTAAATTTAACCTCTCGACAATAGGGTCGGTTGGAATTTCCGGTTCACATACATCCTAGATAAATAAAATCTATGTCACGTTGGTCGGCATAATTTTCATAAACAATAAATGAACCAATAGTTATAAAGATTAATATATATACCACATCCGAATCATAGACAGGACGAGGACCGACGGGGGCGGATACCAAAACCATCGCACTATATAAGATGCAATAATAAAAGTAAGAAAATGATACAAGTATCTATCTAAACATACAAGTAAGAATATTTTTCCTTTCAAAAAGAAGATAAGAATAAGAGGCTCATCACGGTGGTGTCGGTGATGAGATCGGCGAGGGTGATCGACGGCGGTGAAGACGGGGGTGGGGCGTGACGGACCGCTAAATCTAGACAAATCTCGAGGAAAATGGAGCTTTGAGGTCGAGCTTCAAGAGGAGAAAGCTTAACTAGTGTGGCTCGGGCATTTCATCGAACACCTCATGTGCATAGGAGGTGAGCTAGAGCACCACAAACCCCTCCCCTCGCCGGCCCAGAAAAACGGAGCACTGAAGTGCTCTGCTCGCGGGCGAGGGTATATATAGGCACCTCATTAGTCCCGGTTCGTGGCGCGAACCGGGACTAAAGGCACCCATTTGGTCCTGGTTCATGCCTCCAACCGGGGCCAATGATGGTGGGCCAGGAGCCAGGACCATTGGTCCCGGTTCGTCCCACAAACCGGGACCAAAAAGTCCAGACGAACTGGAACCAATGGCCCACGTGACCCGACTGGCCCCCTGGGCTCACGAACCGGGTCCAATGCCCCCATCTGTCCCGGTTCTAGACTGTACCGGGACTAATGGGCTGACCCGGCCTGGACCGTTGCCCCCTTTTCTACTAGTGTTGGCTCGCTCGGTTTTGGCATGGCCGGACGCCAACCAAACGACCCTTGTATTCTTGTTTAGTTAGAGGGGCTGGCTTTTCGATGTATTGTCTGGTCCGTTACGCGTAGATCGGCGTGGCTTTTCTCTATTCTTCTTTCTCTTTGTTTTTCATGTTTGTTACTTATGCATTTTGTTTTCATTCTTTTTTTCCTATTCCCTTTTTGCCTGTACATTCTTTCCTTTTTTCTATTTTATTTTATTGTATGAACGTGCATAAAGCAGCCGTTAGCACAAGCTGGTCAGATCGTGTAGCTCCTTGAGTGTAGCTGAGTTTGGCTCAGCTCGATATCTTCATGATTATCCATGCAACCTAACAATCGCTGAAAATCAGAGAAAAGTGACTTGGCAGACGCGTCAGTGGTTTTCCCAAAGCCATGGAAAACTGCATTTTTTAGATACTGAAATACCTTCAGGATCCGCTGAGGTTTTGACATACTGCAGTTTTAGACAAACTGTGCTGCCCAAAGCTTTTGACCCAGAACTGAAACCTGGTGTGGGGATTTGACTGCAATTTATCATCCCCAGCTACACACTCAACTCTATACAGTACAGATCGGTCAGCTCTGCCTGCGAAGAAAACCTAGACATGTCGGCGATAACGCTAACTGACATTGATGCTGGACATGGGCTGCCTTCCAATCGACGTTGCTGCATGGCAGGGCGTGATCGGTGTTCGCCATTCCTCACTGTCACCGGGAGAACCCGGCTGAAGTTGGCATTTCTTCTCCTAGTACTGAAATTCCTTCAGGACCCGCTGTCCTACCCACTACCATATGCCTGGTGATATCCGTTTAAAAAATTGGGGCGACCATCACATAGCTTCAGCCGGATGAGAGATGCTGCAAGAGATGCTGCAAGAGATGCTGCAAGAGGAGCTCAACCGGACACCTTGTCTCTCTAGTTGAACTGTTCTATGTGCAGAGTGTTATAGAAACGATCATATATACTACTGTTAAAAGGAGTAACTCTAGTGTTGTGTGAAAAATCTACTGCGCTTCTGACGGGTGATTAACACTAGAATACCAGCTAGAGTAACAGGATACTCACCGTGTTTCGACGGGCGTTGTCGGGTGCAAATCTCCTGCTCTTCCGATGTGTGTTGACAGGTGAAAACATTCTGTTACTCCTTTTACCAAAAAGGGAACTAGAGTTGCTGTCTTCAGTAAAAAAAAACCTCCAATTTCCGGCTTCAAATTGACACAAACAGAATTTGGCATCTCAAGCTGTTTCGACCTCCCAGCAACGCACATATGCACACCTCAATCAGAGCCAAAGGATTCAAAGAGCACTGCAACGCACATATGCACACCTCACCATGCCCATCACAAAAAATTGCTACCAGAAACCACCCATTATCAGAGCCAAAGGATTCAAAGAGCACTCCAACGCCTTGGCACAGAATTTGGCCGATACCATACACCTTTGTCAACAAAACAACTCTACAAGTACACTGCATCACAAAGTTGGAGGATTTCCACCACATTGGTGATGAACATAATCGCCGTGCTCGCCATATCATATACGGACTGAGAGAGATCCGCCGTTCCAAAGTAATGGATCTTAGAAATACCCAAAGCAGCGCCAGCCTAGCAAGTTCATGCTCATCCAAGCTACAAGGTCTACAACAACATGCAAAACACCAACCAAATCAAACAGCCTCAAACTTCACCAGTACATTAACTTCATCAAACGAATCTTCAGATTCAGATCCTAGAATAATAGCACTTCTGCTTCATAGTAGCATCTCAGGGATTTATAAGCCTGCCTGTCACCGCCGACACCTCAATCAGAGCCAAAGGATTGATAGTAGCATCTTGATTTCGCACAATTGCTCCCATCCTCCTGTCCTTCTGTCAGCATAAAAGAAGCCATCTGTGTTAGCATTTAACTGCTATACTGCATTCTCAAAATATGCATTTAACTGCTATACTGCATTCTCAAAATATTTTTAGTCAGATGTACCTGAAGAACTTAGATTTTTGTCCTTTCTCCCGAGTATACAATGCGCACGTGCATCTGCAAATGGTATCACAACAGCAGGGAGGAACCAGCGTGCAGCAGCATACCTTCCCCAAGAACCACCGACGGGGCGCTGAAACAGCACCTTCCGCTCCTCCATGGAGTAGACGCCCCAGGTGACGTAGGAGTAGTCATCAACCTCACCCACAAAGTAGATGCAGTTGCTCATGCACCCCGGCACCTCCGAGGCACGCACAGAGAACGATGATTGCTCACTCACGAAAAGCGCCCTGTCAGCAGCAAGCCTCTCCACTTTCACCCATCGTGCCGCCTCGACATCCAGCCTGTACACCTCGAAGCCACCGATGGTATCACGGCATGTGGGTTGTCGTGGTGCGAGCACCGGACCAACAAACAGGACTGCCCCTTCCGACTCCAGCAGGTGCGAGTAGCAGAGGAAGCGCCCGCGGATCGGGGTGTACTGCTCGAGAATGCTTGGCGCACGGAGCTTCTTCAGGCGCCATGGTGGTGGCACGCGTGTGTCCACCGTGTAGGCGCAACCCCGGAATTCCAGCGCGTAGAAGACACCGTCTGTGTAGGCCATCAGATAAATGTTCTTGAACTCTTCAGAGAGCAGCTTCCGCTCGGACCACTCCCCCGTGCACCAGCAGAGCGGGACGCTCCTCTCGGCGTAGTCGTGATCGAAGATCGCGTTGGCGCTGGCGACGGCCCTCACCTTAGCTCCAGTCCCGAAGGGCGCATACACGTCGCTCCGGAACGCGCCGGTGATGGGGTTGACGAGGACAACGCGGTTGCCGACCGCGAAGGAGAGGAGGCCGCAGGGCAGGGCGCCGGATAGCTTAAAGTTCATGCCTTTTGGGTCGCGGACCACGGAGGGCAAGCGGGCAGGGGCCACCAGCGACGGCGAGCCCTCCTCGTTCACCGGCAGGGAGTAGATGGCCCCGCGGTGGCGGCGCTCCTCCTCGGGCGGCAGCATGAACCGTAACGGGGACTGGCTGTGCACGTTGGCGAGCTTGAGCGCGAACAGGTGGGGGGTGGGTCTCGCTAGCCGCTCGGAGACGGCCGCCGCCCAGGACTTGCAGACGACGGCGAGGCACACCGAATCCAGCGGGCTCGTGCTGGACGCGAATCCGAGGATCTTCTCAATGAGGTGGATAGGGAGGGCGCCGATAGCCCCGCTCGCCGCATATCCGCCGTCAGCGGGCTCGTGCTGGACGCGGATCTTGCTCGCTTGGGTGGCCGTGGGTTGGATCGGCTCCATGGGGGGGCGGAGGAGAATGCGGGGGGCGTCGGCGACGAGGGAGGGTGGAGGCGAGGCCGGGGCTGGAGGCGGCGTTGGCCGGAGCGAGACGAGAGAGGTGAAAGGGGATCGGGGAGGAGGACGGACGGAGCCAGGGTTTGGACTTTGGAGCGGGGGGTTCCGTGGTGGACGCAGCTGCTGGGCCGGGTCGGGCTTTGGAGACGGGCTATTTCGAAATCTCATGCAAGGAAAGGAAGTTGATTTTTTTTTCTTGTATATATAACACCTCTAAAGAGGGGTATAAAAACCTTGAAAGAGGAGCAGTAGGTTCGTGCATCTCTCCTCCCCACGGGAGTTGGTAGCGTCGCCTCACCTTTCACCAACACTATATTACGACTACGAGCGTCTGACAGATGATGTTTCACTCAAGCGCAGCCAATTTGGGCCAGCCCATTTGACGCGTGCATTATAACTAAATTAAATAAACTGACACTTTTCCAAAAGAAACATCATGCATTAACTTATTCAAATTAAATCTTAATAAAATATAAACTAAATCCAAATTATTCTTGTCTTCCTCTACTCATACCCAAATTAAAATGGGATCTTACCAAAACATCAACTATAATCGAAGTTGACCGGCCAAATTGGCGAGTGCGCGCGTTTCAATTTTTATTTGTTCTCGATGTTTGTTTTTTATTTTTCTATAACTAACCTACTTTTTCCGTACGTAATCGTTGTTTGGTTTTCGCAGTCATTTATGCAAAAAGCGCATATATAAGCAAGGCCCTGCCTGCTTGCTGCTTTAAGCCCGATTGTTGCTTTAAGATATTACTCTTTAAATTATTAGACTTTTTTAGTTTGGAAACAATCAAAGGAGACATACTGGCAATAATAAAACAGAGAAAAATAAAAAAATATATGGAAAAAGACAAGTTTGATTCGGCCGATAGAGATAATCCTTGAGAAAAATTATAGTGAAAAGAAGGAACGTAGAATTTCTTGCTTTTTTTGGCCAACCCTTTTGCATCATAGTTTTATCCAAGGTTTGTTAGTATTGGTGAAAGAAATCAGATAGAGAGAAGGCAAGTCTCGGTGGGCTACCCAATTATGAGCCCAGGCTCAGATGATCCCGAATCTCCCCCATTCATTCGCATGTGGGTCAGCGCCCTGCAATGTATTCCAATTTGTATTCAGGTACTAGTATTGTTTTCGATCACAGCGCGTGTGCTGGCGCATTTATTTCGCTACGCGGAACAGCGGTATTGGACACGACCCAATCATTTTTCTGTACGAGTCTGAGCCGTCCCGAGGTCGCCAGCTACTTCCTCCGTTTGGGTTTATTAGGCCTCGCAACATCACAAGCATGTCCCCTTTTATAAGGCATCGCTTTGAAAAGGTGCATGCATGCAACCACTTCATTGGTTGCACTGAAAGCCATTGTTGTTGATGTCATGGCCAGGGAATTAATACACCGCATGCGTGATTTTTCATTGGCTGCATGGATGTGAGAGAGTGCATTGAGAGTGAAATGAAAGAATTAACAGTTTGTCTAATTCACATCTAGATGTTTTTTAAGAATGTCACATCTAAGCTCCCACAAGTATATAATGTAGCAATAAGAAACAAAAAAAAACTAGGACAAAAAAAGACCACAAACAAAGTAAACATCAGCTTAGATGTGTCCTAGACAGACCCAAGAATTAATGTGAGCAAATTACTACGGGGGTGTTTGTTTCAGAAGTTCTAAGACTTTTTCTAATCCCAGGGACTAATCAAAAAAGACTCTCCAATAGAGTCTTTTTCTAGTCCCTGTAGAAAAAGTCCCTCCCGTTTGTTTCCTAGGGACTTTTTAGGGACTTTTTCTAGTCTCTGGGACTAAAAAGTCCCTGAACCAAACACCCTCTATGTGTCTTGATCCAAGAGAAGTTGTCTTTAGTCCTAATAAACCCGGACGGAGGGAGTACATGGAGGAAAGAAGTAGTTGAGCAGCACTTCGTAGCTGCAGATACGAATGTCATATTGAGTATTCCACTTTGCACAAGAAGGCAGGATGATTTGAGAAAAAGGGTTTCCCCCCGCTTTATATTATAAAGCAACGAACCAAGCATCCGACATAGCAGTACAAAGTACAATCAAATCATAAAGTCATGTTGGGGGCACAACAGGACAAGCCCCAAAGAAAACAAAAGAAAACTAATCCGCCTCGGGAGGGGGTGGCGGTGGTGGCGGTGCTGGAGCAAAAGCTGATGCCGAGGAACGAAGACCCGCAATGACGTTGCCGATGACGTCCCGATCGCGCTGCTTGCTAAGCGGTCTCCAAAGCTGTAAGAAGCCACACATTTTATAAATTGCATCAGTCACACGGCATGGAATCACACGCTCGATGACAAGTTTATTGCGGGTACACCAGAGGGTCCAAGCTAGGGTTCCCAAAGCCACCCAAGTGGGGGCTTTCCTCGGACCCAGGAGCTTAAAGCCCCCCCCCCCAAACAAGTCCAGGAGGTTATCGTGGCACCAGTTGCCGCCCACGACCTCCCGGAAGCATCTCCATAGGAATTGTGCCGCAGGACACCGAAAGAAGATGTGGTTGGAATCCTCCGGCACCAAACAAATGGGGCAGAGACCATCCCCAGGGCCACTACGCTTTCGGACCTCTGTGCCCGAGGGGAGCCGGCCTCGGACCCATTGCCATAGAAATATGCGGATTTTCAAGGGGAGTTTGATTTCCTAAAGAACGGATAATTCCACCGGGCCCGGCGTGGGAACAATCGCCTGATATAGGGACCTAGTCGAGAATCGGCCACTTGGCTCAAGATGCCAAGATAGCGCATCCGGCTCGAGGGAGGGGGTGTGGAGGGCGATACATTCGACTAGTTCGTCCCATTGCGCTAGTTCCACCGCCCCGAAGGTACGGCGGAAGGCAATAGCACCCAAGTCAGCTAAGGCCACGGCCAACGATAGGAGTGGGCGGGTGCAGATCGAGAATAATGCGGAAAAGCGATCCGCAAAGGGGCGGGTCCCAGCCCACCTATCAAGCCAGAATAGGGTACCAGACCCGGTACCCACTGTAATAGAGGTCCCAATGCGCATGACTGGCATTAGACGGATCATCGATTGCCAGAATTGGGATCCGCCCGATCTAGAGGCAAATGCCAGCGGTTGCCCACGAAGGTATTTCGCGCGGATAATCTCTAGCCACAGACCTCCCTCCTCGGTCTGAATCCGCCAAAGCCATTTAGACAGGAGGGCAATATTCATCCGCTTGGATGAGATGACCCCAAGACCTCCTTGGTCTTTAGGTTTACAAATCTCGGACCACTTCACCATGTGGTATTTCTGTTTATTGTTCTCGCCAGCCCAGAAGAACCGGGATAGGAGTTTGGTAACCTTCTGATGAAGGGATTCATGTAAACTATAGAATCCCATGATGTACATCAATAGGCTAATAAGGGAGGAGTTCATCAGAATCACTCGAGCGGCCTTGGATAGCCATCTCCCTTGCCATGGCTCCATCCTTGGTTGGAGCTTGGCGATTATAGGGCGGAAGTCTGGGAATCATGAGCGGAATGAAATTTTCACTGCCCGGTTTGCGTACCGAATGCTAGTCGGTACTAAGAAGAGGAGCAAAGATTGGCTTGAAGGTAGAGCCGGTAGCTCAGATCCTGGGGTAGAAGGTAAGGCTTGTCATCTTTGTGGTCCGTTCAGGTTTCGGGAAAAATGCGTAACTTCCTATGGAGATTGGCTAGGCACTCGATTCCTACTAAGGATGTGCGTCTTAACAGGAAGATGGCGACAGGTGACAAATGTCAAATGTGTGGAGCATATGACTCATGGTGACATTCTCTCCTAGAGTGTTCTATGGCTTGATGCGTTTGGGTCTTAGCTGATGATGAAATCACTGACTACATGCAAGCCACGAGGGAGGGAAATGCCAAGCTATAGATTTTCAATATGATTGAGGCCCTGCCACATGCATGTTTAATCAAAGTGGTGGTAGCAATATGGGCAATTTGGACTGCGCGGCGGAAGGCCATACATGAGGGGATTCTTCAGAGCCCACACGCCACTCACTATTTTGTTAATTCCTTCATTTCTGAACTTGAAACGATTAAGTTTGCGCTGCGGTCTCTGGTTCAGCAAGGGAGTTCATCAAATAGAACTATAGAAGGGCTGATCCTGGTTATGTGTGGAAAGCGCGGGGAGTTGCTGTGGCGAAGATACATGTTGATGGTGGTTTGTCCAGGGATGGAAAAGGAGGAGCTTCTGCGACACTGTATAGAGATCACGAGGGTGATTATCTGGACTCCTGCAATGGTTTTTAGCAACATTCATGACCCGGCGACATTGAGAGCTCTAGCTGTGCATGAAGATCTAGCCCTTGCTCTTGACCTCCCGCAAAGGCAAATTGTTATCGCATGTGATTGTAAGCCGGTTGTAGAGGAGATAAAGATGGGCTCGAAGCGAAGCTACAGTGCAATCATCCAGGAAGTTCAAGTAAGAACAAGGGAGTTTATTTCATGTGATGTAATTTTTGAACGTCCTACTTTAAATTTTAAGGCTCATAGTTTAGCTAAAATTTTGACTTATTTAACAGAGGGTCGCCATATGTGGCTGGGCTTACCCCATGACCCATTCATTAGTTAACGACCATCCTCCCGGCAGGGCCTTATCATTTATATTTAAGTATTGCTGCACAAGGGGGATTAATGACTGCGATTTACTTAATTAGGAC